CGTACGTCTATGTTGGCATTATTAATAATAATTTAAGCGCCTAACGGACATGGATATAGGAACGGACAGTCTGTTGTTTTGTTGAAGAATGCATTTTGGTTTGAATGGTATATTTGTAAGATTTTATGAAGCTACATTAGCTTTACTGATGAAATCCGTACGAGCCCAGTTTGCTTAAAATTTTAGTCACGACTTTCGATCGTCAATTTGTATTAGTGATAATTCTGATTCTGGATGACCTCGTAGCAAATTTAAAGTATTACTGCCTGTAAACTGTAGACAACCTAGTCGGCCGCGTTAAATATGTGCAATGTTTCGCATAGGAATTAAGTCTGCTTTTAGCATTTTCACCAGTGATTTATTTGCTAGAGATGCGAACTTTTATTTGTTGTCTGTTATTTGTAGACTCTAGAACAATTGACCCCTCCCTATATTCCAGGACTATGTTTATTTTTCCAGAATTATGACCTTTTCGTCCAACCCTTAACCATCCTAAAAAATGGTTTCTAATGGATATTTTTTTGACTGTTTTGTATTTTTCAATGTATAGCATTCTTATGTGACATATTTTTGTTCTTTTAAATAAATTTAGACGTTGTTATTCGAGTGTTTTTGTCTACCCTCAATCATTTAAACCAATGGAAAAATTTAACAACCAGCCCGCGTCCGAGCAGGGGGGGGGGTGGGTCGATCCTCCTAGGGCGTCTTCTCGCGAGTCTCACGTTTCGCCTCCAAATTCTTTCTCAGTTCTGTCTTGGGGCGCAACAAGCTGCCAGCCCTTCTCCCCTCCCTCGCCTTCGCGGACTTGCAGACAGAAGGCCCGTGCCTCTATTTCTAGACGGTCGCTCAGCTGGTAGCCGCGGCCGCCTGTACCTCTTGGACCCAACCGCGGGCCGAGTAGGCAGGGTGCCCGAATGCTGGCGGCTAGGCAACAACTGGGGATTCGCAGGGTGCACTCAGGCTAAAAGAGTACCATTAAAAATCTATGGCAGTCATATTAAATACGTAGTGGTGCTTATTACGTTTTACAAAGGCCCAAGCTCCTCCGTTCCACTTAAAACTAAAAATACTTTGCTTTGTCAGTAACCAAAGAACACCAGTGAACACGTTGCTGCTCACCTAATGTTCTGTTCGGCACATTTAAGGCCACAGTGCACAGCAGCCGGACGCAAAGGGGTGAGGCTGGGCTAGGTCACCCTAGTTGGCATCCATTATCACAATGTGATCGCGCTCGACCCTCTCCGACGAGCTTTGGATGGAGACTACCGCTCCTTCATGGTGATCTTGAGCGGGCTGGAGTACTGGACGAAGAGTTTCTGCTCCACCTGTGGTTCCGGGTGGTGCCACTCCAGGTTGTGGGAGCGGAACAGCTGCAACAGAGACGGTGTTACGGACCCGTAGGGTGCGCAGCTACGTACGCCCTGGCGATAGGCAACCCAACGTGCAGCCCTGTTTAGCGGAAGGCCCCAGTCCCACTTCGCTCACCCTGGCGCACAACACCTCCATCTCCAGATCGGCGAACCTCTTGCCCGCGCACATGCGGGGGCCGAAGCCGAACGGGATGTTGACGAAGGCGTGTCTGGGCTTGAGCTGCTCCTGGCCGGGCAGCCAGCGCTCGGGGAGGTACTCGGAAGCCCGGGGCACCAGCCTCTCGTCCCTGCACATCGTCTTGGTGCACACGATGGTGTGGGTCTGGAACGCGGAAACGTATTAATGCCCATAATGTGCCTCAGCAGCTGGTCGATCTGCTGAGCGTTTCCCGATACTCACTCCTTTGGGGATGAGGTAGCCGTTGAGGACAACGTCCTGGTTGGCAGTGCGCAGGATGCCGGTGACGACGGCCTGCAGGCGCATGGCCTCCTTGATACAGGCGCGCAGGTACTTGAGCTTCTCGAGCACGCTGGCCGTCAGAGGCTGCCCCGCCTCCCACTCGCGGTCCAGCTCGGCCTGCAGCGCCCTTTGCTGCTCCGGGTGGGTGGCCAGGAAGTACAGCAACGAAGACGTCTGGTGCGCAGTCTGCGGGGGAGAAGAGCGCAGGTAAGCGTCATAGGGGATCAGCACCAGCCTGCGGGTCACTACTTGGCCGTCGACGGACTCACCGTGTCTATGCCGGCCAGCATCATGTCCAGCGCGAACGCTACGCCCTTGTCCGAGTCGTGGCTGTTGACGAGCAGCCGCTCCAGGACGCTGAACTGGCGCGAGGCGATCTCCTCCTCGGACAGTTTGGAGAGCCGGTCCACCACCTCGTTCACGTGCCTCGTCGCCATCCTGGAGTCATCGGGAACGTCCCGTGAACATGAAAAGGTGCCCCCGTAGCTACACCCCGCTGCCTGGGCTTGGAGTATCGCCGCGAGTCGGCCGCGGGGTATCGCTGGTGGGTGGGTGGGA